CCCCAAAACCCCAAAACCCCAAAACCCCAAAACCCCGTCACTTATGTTGCTACGAATTTCTGAAGAAATGTAAGAGAAAATTAATGTATTAAGATTTAGAATCACTTAGCTTTCTTGAAGTTATCGTCCTTATCATGATATCCAACGTATTCATCATCATGTTTATGGTAGTTCTATCTGAATTGACGAATGCAGCCTAATACTCCGAGGATAACAATTGCTACCAAATAAAGATAAAATTCCCAGCCAAGACCATCGAAGGCGTTATTCTTGAGTTATTGAATCAAGAAGATCTCATTGGGGAATTTACCTGCATACATTGAAATACCTCTAATGAAGGCGTAAGCACCAATGAAGGAAGTAAGATAGATTATGATATGTCTATCGAATTTATAAGCTAGGAAACCGAAAAGTAAGGCACCAATACCACATGAAGCAATTAGAAGGCCAACATGTTGTAGCCATTGGATGAAAACAAAGGTGTAAAGAAGGAATCCAACGAAGAAGCCTGCAACTGCTCCTAGGGCAGTTAAACCAGTTCTTTAGATTCTTTTAATGAAGAATCCTACGAATACAGCTAGACCAAGGGCTACAATTAAACTCATGACTGCTAGAGTGATCTCACCTGGGGTTGATTGCTTACCTTTTTCAAGAGCTATCAGCGCACCAAGAATCGAAGCGAGCAAAAGGATAGCAAGGAAGGTTATTCCACCAGCAACTGAGGCAAGTACGTATGGGAAGAATTTACCTCCCCAGAATGTTACAATGGTACCGAATACTATAAGAATAGCTCCAAGAGCCCATGGGTTCTCAGAAAGGTATCTTACGATAGAGGTAGCTTGGAAGACTGGACAGCCACTAGCGTGAGTGAACGATAATTTTGGTGCGCATTTGTCTGTTAAATCAAGATTCTTTGAAAACAATGTTGGAATATCTTTAGCCTCAGCATCACAGAATACTTCATAGATAACTTTGTAATTCTTCTTTTTGTCAGCAGCACATTCTTCACCACCGTCGATTTCGAAGTAGATGTGTCTTGGTGCGTTAGCATCAGTGTCATTTACTACTGACTTGATATTTTGTGGTTTACCTCCTCCTGTCAATCTAGTGGTGCTGTCCAAAAAACCACTTCCAACATCAGAATAGGCAAAGGTTTTTTCACCATCTTCATCCTTTAATCTTCTACAGAAGTTGAAGTTGTGACCTGCTACTTTATAGGTGTTTCCCTTCTCGAGAACTCTCAAATCGAAGAACGTCAAATCATTGTACAAGAGACAGTTTAGTCTGGTTAAGTCCTCAGCCTTATCAGAGGCGTACTCCTTAGCCTACATAGCCTTCTCAATAGAGCCGGTGTCTTGAAGGAACTAGGCATCTTGCATCATAAGATCCTGGGCATTAATGAGGCCCAAGAAGACAGCCAAAGATATAGTTTAGAGTCTATTCATAATAGTAAGTATCAATATTTAATCTGAAGTTAATATTGCAGGAATTTATACCTATAATTGTTCTATTAGCGAAATACTGATGAATTCTAGTTCACGGGGTTTTGGGGTTTTGGGGTTTTGGGGTTTTGGGG